TATTCTATTCTATTCTATTCTATTCTATTCTATTCTATTCTATTCTATTCTATTCTATTCTATTCTATTCTCTTGCCTTTTCTGAATGTGTATTCAAAAGGGTCAGAGTTTGCTTCCTGACAGCCTCACGCTCTACTTTGACCTCCCATGTGGATACTCTTGAATCCAAACTCTATGTGAAAAGCAAAGATTATTAGCTAAACACCCTCGCTCTCTTAAAATGACTCTATATATGTAGGCAGATATATAAAGAAGGAGGGAGGAGAAGAGAGGCTTGCATTCAGATATGTGTTGTGGAAGCTGGAAATAATTTTAAGAACACTAAGTTTAGGAGTGGAACTTTTGAGACTGGCGTTGTATGAAAGAAAGTATAGGTAACCCTTGACTTACAACCACAATTGAGCCCAAAGTTTCTGTTGCTAAGCAAGACATTTGGCCCCTTTTACAATCTTTCTTGCCATAGTTGTTAAATGAAATCACTGCAGTTGTTAAATTAGTAGCACGGTTGTTAAGAAAATCTGGCTGCCCCATTGACTTACTTTATTTCTTTATTTGTTTGTTTGTTTGTTTGTTTGTTTGTTTGATTTGCTTGTCAGAAGGTGGCAAAAGGTGATCACATGACCCTGGGACACAGCAACCATCATAAAAATGGGTCAGTTGCCATGTATCTGAATTTGGATCATGTGGCCATGGGATTCTGCAAGGGTCACAAGTGTGAAATGCAATCATAAGTCATTTTTTTCAGTGCCACTGTAACCTCAAACAAAGTTACTAAACAAACCCTTATAAGTCAAGGACTACCTGTAAAGATAAATTATAAGTTTTGGATGGTGATAGGAAAACCTAAGTGGTTCAATTTATGTACAGAGAGAATTAGTGAGTTAGGAAAGACCATCAACTATGTTGTTCAGAGCCAGAAGAGAAAAATAAAGTGAATTGAGAGAGGAAGTGATGAAAGCCCTGAGAATAGTCAGTCTCATTAATAGAAAGTTTACTACATGGAATCATACTATGTTTTTTAGATAAGGAGATAAATGTTCCTCTGGTGATTATATCTTGAACTATTGCCCCTCAAGGGCAATAGATTAACAGCAAAATGAGCCACTGTAAACCGACTTGAATTCCAACAATATAAACTGATATGACACCCAGGAAAGAAGAAACTTTCTAATAAATGTAAATACTCACATAGACAGAAAAATTCTTTGGTGCACTAGTTATCTCTTCTGTATGAGAAACTGTCTTTGAAATATGGTCCAGAGCTACTGAAGTTGGACGGACTGCTTGAGACAATTTGATGACTACATAACCTTGAGATCCCTTCATGGCCCAACAATTCCCAGGGCTATTATCCCGCTGAAAACCAAACAGTCTGTGACTATCAAAAAGCAGTAAAAGCAGGTCTTTTGATTTCTGAAAACTATGTTTTGGTAATAGCTAATTTTACAAACAAGGCATTATTGATTTTTATAATCAAGTCATTATTGATTAAGCCACCTAAACTCAAGTCACAGCATTAGAACAAGACTAAATTGATTGAACTTATTCAACTGTAATTCAGAAATTTCAAAGGAAGATTTGCAAAACTGATTTCAACGGAATATAAATTCAAGTAATTTAATCCAGGTGAAACTGAGTAGACATTTTAACATTTTTTTCATTGATTTTACCAAATGTATATATTATATTTATTGGAAACTGCCTTCAGCTGGAAATTCTGCATATCTACTCAGAAGTAAGTCTATTTAGCAGAATTTAGCACCAGCAAGGGTGCTTAAGAGAAAAAAAGGAGAGAGGAGAGGAGAAGAGAAAGGGGAGGGGAGGGGAAGAAGGAAGGAAGGAAGGAAGGAAGGAAGGAAGGAAGGAAGGAAGGTTTTCACATGCATGCATAGAAATTAATACAGGGAAATGTACTCAAAGATATAAAGAAAAGTTCTGTGTTCTTTAGAGAAGGATGTACATTCACAAAAAAAGAATGGCGCATAGTTTTGAATAATGCAAGACCAAATGTGGGATGAGACACTAATTGTCCCAGTTTTTCTTGATACTATTATGTATTTTATAAGGGGATCCCATGCAGCAAAATTTAAAGGCATGAGTCCTACTTCCTTGAGACAAATAATGATTAGAAAATGAGTAGATCAACCTATTGACACTTGTGCCCCAAAGGTAGAGATTGGACTGCCATTTGTCAGAAATGGTGTAGGGTCTCCCACTTGGGCATGGGGTTGGACTAGATGACCTACAAGGTCCCTTCCAACTCTGATTATCTGTTATCTGTTAAAGCAGCCTCTGGCTGCAAATAGTCCAACCAAACGCTGTGAGCACCACGGCTGCAAAGTAAGAATTCCAGGTGAATACAGCTGTTAGCTCAGACTACATAAATCTGTTTCATTTATCACTGAGCAATGTTTTATCTGACAATTGCCAATTGAAAACATGTGAACTAGACTTCTTCATGAGGTTTGAAAGGTAGTAGAGAGAAACGCAATCAAAATCTTTCAGGGAGATGGGAGATAAAATATTGTTATTATTATTATTATTCCTACCTCTAAAATCATATTTGGTGATCGCATATAATCCCAGCAGAACCCCAACATACAGACTTGTGCTCTTGTGTTAAAGCTGTTGCTGAATTTCACAACATGGGCACCTACATAAAAGAGGGAAGATTTCTCATCAAGAATCAAAAGGAGTCCTAAAGGACTGAACCCAAGAGAGATGCTAATCAGAGCAAGCCAAGTAAGCTGAAAGTAAAGTATTGTATCACAGCTTCAAGTGGTTTCAGATATGTATTGCTTTCCATACTTCATACTTTCCACCCATAACATGAATGTATTGATCTGTTCCCTGCCAAACGACAATCCAATCCCAATAGTGGGACAACATAACTAATTGCATGATGTCATCTCTGAAGGTGAATGGGGGTGGAGGTGGTAGGATTAAATTCATATTCTATCCTCCTGCCAAAATAGAATAAATGAGAGGATGCTATTGCAGTCATATAAACGGAACTTTAGAAAGAACACACATTTTTGCCTACTTTTGAAGATCTGATCTGTGCTCTCGTTATGCAGATTCTTGCCTCTCCCAGTTTCTACACTTTAATCACAGTGACATATTGGTAAGTTACAAAAAAGAGACATAAATTGCAGAGTTTGAGAAGCAGCAGATAGCTTTGAATGGTTTCCCTGTGATTCATTTTGCAAAATATTTGACAAATTTCCCCAAATATATTTGTAGAAAGATAAAGTCCCCCAGAAAAGGTAAAAACTAACTTTTTTTTTTTTAAGGGAACACTTGTGGTACCTGAAGGAGCAACAAAAGTCTCTCAGTTGTAGCCAAGTTTAAAATAAGTGCAAGTCAACATTGAGTTGGGCAGTGGGCAGAGTACTGCTGGAGACCGGGGAGACCAAATACGGACCTCTGTGGGGTCTCTGTGGGGCCTGCTTTTGGTTGACAGAGCACTGCTAGAAGCTGTGGAGGCCGAAAATGGGTCTCGCAGGGGCCTCACGGGGTCTCTGTGCAGCCTGTTTTTGGCCGGCAGAGTGCTGCTGGAGGCCATGGAGGCCAAAAACAGTCCACGTGGGGGCCTAGCGGAGTGTCAAACTCAAGGCTGCAGGAGGCCATGGAGGCTGAAAACGGGTCACATGTGGGGCCCCCAAGGCCCATTTTGAGCAGCAGAGGCACTACGGGCCAGTCCTTTTATATTTGCAGGCTGGGCCTGCGGGCCAGATTTAAGCATCCCACAGGCCAGATCCGTACCACGGCCCTTGAGTTTGACACCCCTGATATAGATAATTCTCTCCCCAGCCCCTATAAAAGGGGGGGGGGAGAGTCACCAAAGGTGCCCAAGCTGCCTATTGTTTCCTGTCACTCTGCTCTCTCCAGCCCAAGACTTCTGTTTCTAACTGCTTGTTCTCTGATAAGGTGACCAACTTTTTTACAATGAGAAGGAGGACACAAATAAATTGAAGAAAAAAAACAAAGCCACTTTGCTTGCAGCGCACTCTTGCGTGCGGTACACTCTTGCGCACAGAACACTCTCTCAAAACAATTCTCCTGTGTGGAGTGCACGCATCTCATAATCGCATCTCGCCACACTGTACCGAGCCTTGACGAATCGCCATGTCAAATACAAATATGTCACATCACACACAACGGATCAGCTAGGCATCAATCAAATACGGAGATTTACAGATTAGTCTTCAAATATCAAAAAGGAGGACATGTAGGAGGACACTTTTCGAGAGAGGACAGAACTTACAAAAGAAGGACTGTCCTCCCTCAAGGAGGACGGTTGGTCACCTTATAGACTCTGACACTCTGAAATTTCTCTCCCACTCCCAATTCATGTACAATTCCTTACAAGTTTTCAGTGCCACAACTGCAATATGATCTTGTTTTGAGGCTGCCTTTCTTTCTTCTCCAAGAAGAATGAAAAAGACAGAGAAAGCTAGAAGGGTGCATTACAGAAACATTGTTGTATCTTCGGCTTACCTTCAGAGCTCAGTGCGTAGTCTTTTTTCCAAAAATGGCTGCTTTCATTTTGCATGCTGCTCCCTTGCTCAAATGCATGCTGTGTGGAATGGGAAGCGAGGACAAATAGGAGAAAGGTCACTCAGCTGGGTCACATTTTGTGGGGGTTAGGGAAGAGGGGATGGGAACCCAACTTGGGACCTAATCTAATCATGGGAAGGGAATCTGCTGTCCCTTTAGTCCAATTCCCGACAGTTCTAGCCAGCATAACTGGGTTTGTGTTATGTTATAGCCCTAAATGGGGGAGAAGCAATCCAGTTGTCTAGATATTATGTTCTATTACTATAGCTCTGGAAATATTCACTCCAATAAAGAGTCAAAAGAAGATATAGATTTGAGCAATATTTATGCATGCAAGTAAACACAGAGGCATATGCTAATTTAGATAATAACAATGCCTCTAGAAAATGCTATAGTGAAGAAAACATGGCCAAAACATTTCTGGGCCTGCTTAATTCTGCTACCAAAGCGCTGATGCTTTGCAGGACAAATTCAAGCTCCTTCTTTGCCCTTCTTTGCTCCTTTCAAAGTTTTTTTTTTTTTGCTTTCACTTTTAAATCAAACATGTACCTTCCTATACATGATGCTTTCAAACAGATAAATATCTCCCTAACCAGAGTCCAGGCTAATTCTGTAAGCCCATCCATCATGATTGTGGGGAAGGCAGTTTGAAATGCAAACTGTTGATATGTCAGTTGAAAAAAAGAACAGAACCAAATAAAAACCTGAACAACAAGGAAAACAGCCTAGAATATGAAAACTGATTTGCTCAAGCATCTGCAAAATTACAAAACAGTATAAGAAGGAAGGTTTAGGGTTATATAATGTGCATGATTGGTACTGGCTAGGCGTCATATGATTTCAAATAGGAAGTCCTTAGAAATGGTAGGATTTTTATTGATGTTCTTGATGGGGGAGGGGTTCTGATGAAAATAGTATAGCATTTAGATTTATGCTGATACATTTTTTATCTATGGACTAAATTAATTATTTCAGTGATTGCTAGGCCTGAAAAATAGTGGAAAACATTATTAGGCAGAAATATGATTGTATTACTAAAAGCAAAAATGTATTTGGCAAATTACATAAACTTACCTTCTGGGTCTCCCAATGTCCATGGATATTTTCAAGGGCATCTACGAGAGTCTGGAGTCCTGCAACTTTTTGACGGAAAGATCCAATCTGTTTCTGGAGATGCTGCTGAAGGGCCTCATTCTGGTGACTAGGCAGAAAAGAGCAAAGACACACAAAGTAAGTTATCTATCAAACTAGGCTAGATTAAACCTAGATTAATTGTGCGGTGAGGCTGTTGCTTGGAGTTACACTTCAGACTCCAGAGCGGGGATGGCATGGCTGCTTGAAAACAGAATCATTTTTTTTCTGAGGGAGGGAGAGAAGGTCACATAGAACATTAGGTTTTAATTTCAATTCTCTGATACCTAGGTTTTACCATTCCCCCCACTGTGTGTGTGATATGTGCATCTGTGTTTGTGTTTGTGTGTTTGGATAGCTGCTCATTATCTGAGCTGCCTGAAACACTAGTCGGGGCAAGGAAATTTAAACAAAATTGCTCATGCTTTATCGTATCCTCACTGCAGTCGTGATCCAGGCAGAAAGGTCTGTTCCTGTTACTCCGCTTATATGGATCATAAGCAAACCTACCGTTAAAAATCAAAAGCACAATTGCTAAGAGTAGCTGCTGCTGAAAAATGGAATGTTCTTAGATTTAGAAGAACACCTCCAGAGATGCAGGTGGCATGGATATTTGTGGTACAAGAAAGTCAAGGTTATCATTATGTTAGACATGCCAGATTGAGAATATAGAATAGATACCAATCCAGGTTGTGCCTGAAAACACCACTGTGGCTATCAGTAGAAAAAAACATTTTATGAATGAGGAATAATAGGCCAACACAAATGGCTAGCCTCTCATAATTAGATTTTATCAAGGGGAATGTAAAATAAAATCAACAGGTGACAGATGGTATAGTTTGCAAAATCTCCTTATTTATAGTTATTCAAAAGATTTAAAGTAGACAAAAGAATTTGTGGCATCATTGTATACAAATGATGAAAATATAACTGCTAAAATATATCAACAAAAGAACAAAAGAACATATGATAAAGTGGGCTAAAAATTTTGGTTACAATGTACAAATGGAACAGTGGAAAATATATGGCTGAAAGGATTGAAATTTACACTGGTGTACACTTAAAGAGTATTTTATAAAATCATAACCACATTACACTAATTCATAATGCTTTCATAGACAGTACACCTAAAATCATTCTATTAAAAATTACATTTATTCCTAAATTCCAAAAATATGGGACTTCATTGAAGATTGATAGTATATATATTGTACAATCCCTGCTGAGCATTCAATTTCCTATAACTTTCTGACACATTTCATTGAGAGAACATTTAGGGCTTCTTCCATAAAGGAAAAGAAATCTGTTTGTGCTTCTGATTTTTTTCATTTCCAACAGAAAGAGGTCACTGTTAAAATATTCTTTTATTCTGTGTAGAATCTGCCACACATAAGAGACTCCTCCATTTCTCTTTCATCTCTAATTTAGCAAGCTTGCTGTTGATGATATCCAGAACATTGTGAAATCTACATCTCATTCAAGGACCTGAAGAACATCTATAATAGGAGGCCTTTTTTTAAAAAAATAGAAAATAAATCACTAGCATTTAACACTGGAACGCTATTATCAGTATAAATCATCTTTTTTATGTTTTAAGAAAAACTTTAAATAGAATCCATCTTTTCCTTGCAGCCTAGTGGTCAGCTCACATTCCATTTAGTTCAAAGTCACCTAGAGTTACAGCAGTTTTGCTGGGCAGGAATTTTAGGAATTCCAGACCAGTGAAAAAGTGGAAGAGATCAGACTGGGAAAAACTGAGTAACAGATTCTGGTCTTTCCCTCTGCTAACTCTTCTACATGGATAGGTTAGCTTTATTAAATACATTTATAGGGGGTAGGGTTCCTCTTCATTTATTCTTTCTTTCTTTCACTTTTGTTTCAGCATTTAAAAAAAGATTTTGGCTGATGCTGAATGATTAAGTGTTCCTATTAGCATGTTTCTAAATCTTTATATGCAGTTCATTAATTAAAACATCTTTTTACCTTAATTGCATCTTCATGATCTGCTTGAAAATATCAGAGGAAGTGCATAGGCCAGACATAAAACCTAGAAGGAAACGTGAATTTCATTAAGACCCTTTTCCAAATTATTCAGTAGAACATTGTGGCACTTAACAACTGCAAATATGACATTTTTTGAGTCCTATTTCAAATGAGATACAGATAGTCCTTGACTTATGACCACAAATGAGCCCAAAATTTCCATTGCTAAGCAAGACAGTAAGTTTTGTGCCATTTTATGACCTAAAGAAGATTGAAGGCAATTTCCTTTCTATTTTCCCATAGTTGGGTAGAAGAAAGAAGTCTTTAGTAAGAGAGCTAGGAACAGACTGGCAAGATTATTGGACATAATTAACTTTTAATGGGAATTCCTTAGAACAGTGGTCCCCAACCACCGGGCCCCGGACCGTGGAGCATTTTTTACCGGGCTGCAAAGAAGTGGGCGCCGCCATCTAGTTTTGACGGCGCTTGAGGAAGTGCTTCCGGGTGAGCTTGTCAGCCGTTGGTTGGAAAGCGGCATTTGGGTGCTGAATCCTCGCGCCTTAGTTTCGTCGAGGGGGGTGGTGGCTTCGAACAAAGAGCCATCCCGATGGCGGTGGAGTCTCGCATTAGGAGGAGCTTAAGAAAGAGCCCGAAAAGCCCATCCACAAGGGTACAAAGAAGGAGTTGAAGGTGGCGGGGAGAAGCGGGGGACGGCTGGCTGGCCGGTCGCTCAGCTCGCCTTGCCTTGGTCATGTGTGCTGATGCCGGTACCGGTCTGTGGATCATTTTGTGATGCCGGTACCGGTCCGTGGGACAAAAAAGGTTGGGGGCCACTGCCTTAGAACAAAGACTCAGCCAGTGAGTTTGCTAAAGTATCTCTCCTCCCAGCTTTTAATAAATAGCATGAAAGTGAATTTAATTGCTTGTATTCTGTAGAGAAATTGCAAAAACATCCAGAAAATGAAATAGGTATGTGTATCTGTGACTTCTCAACATCTCAAAGGCTTCCTTTGGAGATTGATATGGTCAGCCATAGGGCATACATACAATACACAACACACACACACACACACACCATCATCATCATTTTAGCCACTGACTTTCCACTGAAGGATGAAGGCCTCTTCTGCATTTTTCCAACCAATATAGCTCTGAGCTTTCTTTTGCCAATTGGGCCCCCAATACTTGTGGATGTCATAGACAGGTGATAGGTGATAGATTAGATAGATAGATAGATAGATAGATAGATAGATAGATAGATAGACAGACAGACAGACAGACAGACAGACAGACAGACAGACAGACACACACACACACACACACACACACACACATCTTTATATATATAAATGTCAGTCTCTTTTGGGGTAAGCAATCCTTTCAAAGTATAGAAAAGGAATAAGACGAAATGAGTAAAATAAATTTTAAAAAATGGGTAAAAAAAGAAATACAGCTAAAACTAGTTTCTATCAAGTCTACTGACTACATCTCTCAATTACTTTTTGATCTTACAAATTGTCCTTGCTTTCACAAATCCATATACTATTTTTGTACATGTTCTATTCTTTGATCTCTTCATCAATCTCTGATGATCTCCTGAGCTCTCTCCAACTCTCAATTTATTCATGCATGCATTCATTCTCATTCTTCATTCACCGCTCTTTATATCACCAATTCACCTTAATATACATCCTTCATTTTTATTCATTCTTATTCAGCACATGTTCATTCTGACCATAACTACTCCTACTATACTGGGCATTTTAGGGAGCCAAATCTGACCCTTTAGCTATCTCTATCCAGCTCATGTGAGGTCAATTGAAAAATTAGAAACCAAATGTAAATAAGTGCACTGCAGGTGGTGAGATAAGAAGCTGAGTCAGGTCCAGCTCTGCACAGTCACTATGCACTCCTTCAGTCGACAGGAAGCTGTGGGAGGCAAAGAGAGAAAGCATTTTTCTGTGCCTACACAGTGCTTGCCCCTTTCATTCAACTCACTTGTTGTCCTGCTCTAGTTCACACACATATGTACACCACGGATAATTCAAGAGATTTTATTGAGCCTTTTCAAGTTCTTCCAAGAGCCTTCTCCAGAAAATCCCCAGTCCAATGACAAGGCAACCTCCTCCCAACAAATTCTAAGCTCAGTTTCTGAATGACTCCAGCACAAATCCACAAAGCCAGGAAAATTCACAAGGCAAGACAAAATAGAAGCAAAGCAAGGTAGAAACACCAAGGTTCACAGTCTGGGGTCTGGAGAAACAGGGTTCAAGGCAAATACAAATCCAGGAGGCATGTCAAAGGGTCAAGAACAAAGTCAGGGTCTAAAATCCATGATGAGAGTCAGGAAGCTCAACTGAGACTGACAAATGCTAGGCACCAAAAATGGATGGTTGCTCCCAGCATCATTTCCCTCTTCTCATTGCGCTAAATAGCCGGTGTCCGGTGTAGTCCATCAAGAGGGGCAAGGCTTTGTAATCCATCAAGAGGGGCAAGGCAAGACTTTGCATCTAGCCAGGCTGACCACCATTGCTCCTGTCTCTTCTCCACCTTGACTGCTCTTGGATCAGGTGGAGAAGGTAGTTCCTCCTCCTCCTTTCTGGCCAGCTGTAGCTGTGTGCTGTTTCCATACCAAATCTCAGGATTGTCCTGCTGCAGCTGTGGCTCAACTAATACGTGCTCATTCAGCTGCTTGTCTGATCATTCCCCCAGTTTATATGCCTGGGACTACTCATCCTCTTCTGAGCTGGTATCCCAATAGGCATCTGGGGAAGCATCCAAGGAGGCCATCACATTTGTTTATTTCTCTTGAAATACTCAATCCTCCCATATAACAAAGTGGACAGAAACATATTCTTATACACAAACATTTTTGCTTCTTTTGGCAGTCACTGCACTATACTCACTGCTTTATTACCAGTTTCTGCATGCCTTAACATTTCCATTCATTTCCTCAACTTTAGCAAATATTATTTCAAGGTACACACATTAATATATTTGCTGTTGTTTGTTGTCATTTATGTATGCATTGGAATAAATCACTCCTTTTTCTTTGACAAATATAACTACCATTGTATTGGAAACTTTAACTTTAAAATCCAATCTTCATACAATCTATCTAACCTTTGGTATAAATCAGTGTAGTATTTTCCATATAGAAAAGTACATATGTATTCCTGTCCCTGATCAATAGACTTCTAGTGTCACTGAAGTATTCCTGACACATTTATCCATAAATACAGGAAATAAGCAAGGGGCTGTCACACATCCTTATCAAAATAAAGGTCATGCTAGATGAAGATTGGTAGGTAACACTAACTCAGGTTAGTTATCCAGGTACAAGCAGGAAATAGGCTATCCCAACATAGAACCTGAATTATGCTTCCACTTCCAATGTTGGCTATGGGAGGGAAGAAGACTAAAAGCAATAGCACTTAGACTTATATACCACTTTACAGTGCTTTACAGCCCTCTCTAAACGGTTTCCAGAGTCAGCACATTGCCCCCAACAATCTGCGTCCCCATTTTACCCACCTTGGAAGGCAGCCCTGCAACATTATGATGCAGCTATTTGTGTTGCACATTGTGATGTCAACATGTATGTCCAAAAGGGGACAAAGCTTGCAGTAACAATACTGCAATGCTGTTTTGGCCATTCTGATTCTATTGCTATTGCTGTCTTTTCCCCTTCCTTCTGCACAATCAGGTAAAAGAATCAACCCGAATTCAGTCTCATTTTTCTCCATTTTAGGATTATCATTTATTCCTAGCTTGGTGTGATAAAATACAGCCTTGTTTCATTTCCAAACAAGCAAACTAGAAACCCAGGATTATTTAGCTAGTTTCTTTAACAAACTAGAATTCATTTTAAATTACAGATCCTCCTGTTTCATTCATAATAACAGGACAGGGATTGTGAAAGCATCATGAAGTTCTGGTTTATATCTCTTCCCAGTTATGGAGAAAAAGGAGAGGGAGGAATAGTGCTTTACGTGAATTCCTTTCCTTTCCAGGTCTGCATGGAATTGCTGTTTATTATCCTGTGTAAATGCTGACAGAGCTACGTTTATACATGACACAAAACTCAGAGGATCAGGGATCTGGGTCATCAGGATGATCTAAACCAAGATCTTGATCAGTACAACATCCACTGGAGCATTTTTGATAGATGACAATTCCACCTTTGTTTGAAGATCCCATTAAGCCTTGAAACCATTGTCTACAAATCCCAATGGCTGGTTTCACGCAACATGCTAAGAGGTCAAACCAACTAAATCCCATGATTTCCTAGTATGTTGGATGAACCAAACCCCAAGTTATTTCATACTAAGATCTACCAGGCTTCCAGAACATATGGATAATGAGTTCACCTGGTTATTTAAATAAAAACATCATGAAATTTCTTTAAGTGAGATTCTCTAGTGCAGAGGAAAATTAGAAGAAGTTAATCCCATGCTCGGGATAGATTTTAACACAGTCAATGCAAGCAGCACCATTGAAGAGACAAGGTCCTCAAAGCATTTCTCCTTTCCAGTAGTCTTAATATCTTTCTGAAATTGTCAGCAAAACAAAAATGTATTTAGACTGGCTTGTTAAAGCACTCACCCCAAAAGATGCCCACTATGAATATTAGTGTTATACAAGCCAACACCTTCACGAAAGGCCTCCAATGTTTCTCTGAGGAAAGAAAAGCAAAGTGAAATGGATATTAATACAATGTGAGGATTTGTTCTGTACTGGAAATGAAGATTACATACAACGAAAGGATACAAAAATTTACACAGCTCACTGGATGAACTGCCTACCTACCAACAATTGTAGAATTTGGCAATAAACAGCTGTTATCCTACAGAAGGAAGTGGGAGGGGTGGTTGTTTTTTTAAGAATGTGTTCATTCCAATATAATTAGGAACACCAGAAGCACTCTAAGGCTTAACTGGGTTAATTCTCACATGGCAGTAGTAAGTAATCACCTTAATCCTGATAATCATTATCAGTTTATAGGTATTGCAGCTTTCCAATGTTTTTCAATAATCCAACTAAATTGTAGTTTTTGAAACCAATGATAAATCCACAAAAGAAAATCAAGCAAATTAACTAGATGTGAATAAGTGCACACCAGTTAGTGGGAGTGAAAAGTTTAATAGGAAAAGGTTTCTGAACTTGCAAGAATGCTCATATAACTCCTGAAAATAGCCATGTCCCAGCTCTTCTGCATAGCTGATGCCCAACCTTGCAATGGATTCCGAAGCTTCCCTTAGAATCTGATGTGCAACCCTGCTAGTTAGATTTCCTGCACATTCTTACACAAGCCAACCCCACTATATTCATTGAGAATGAGGATAGGATTCTAGCCTCATCAAATAAGTCTAGGTACATCTAGTCAGAGCTTCAATGAGATTGGTTTGCTAAGGAAGCACAAAATACAGGTAGTCCTTGACTTACGACCGCAATTGAGCCCAAACTTCCTGTTGCTATGCGAGACATTAGTTAAGTGAGTCATGCCCCATTTTATGACTTTTCTTGCCACAGTTATTAAGTGAATAACTGTGGCTGTTAAGTTAATCATATGGTGGTAAGTGAATCTGTTTCCCCATTGACTTTGCTTGTCAGGTCACAAAAAGTGATCAAATGACCCTGAGACACTGTAACCTTCATAAGGTTGAGTCAGTTGTCAAGCATCTGAAGTTTGACCTGTGATCATGGGGATCCTGAAATGGTAGGAAGTGTGAAAAATAGTCAAAAGTCACTTTTTCAGTGCCATTGTAATTTCAAATGGTCACTAAATGAACTCTTGTAAGTTGAGGATTGTCTGTAAAGAAGTGAAGAGAGGTTTGCAGAGAGAGTTCTTTGGCAGCACAATAACTTTTTGATGCAGTGCTTTAAGTGGTGATTTAATGAATTCCCCAGCCTCACTGCATTTTCTATAATTAGCAAAGCATTACTAAAGGCAGCAACCCAGCTCTTAAGCAGCTGCCAGTTCTCTAATCTCTTGACCAGGGTCCCCAAACTTGGCAACTTTAAAACAGGTGGACTTCAATTCCCAGAATTCTCCAGCCAGCATGGCTGACTGGAGGATTCTGGGAGTTGAAGTCCACCCATCTTAAAGTTGCCAAGTTTGGAGACATCTGCTCTTGACGAATCCCATGAATGGCAGAGGCCATTTTCCCCAGTATTGAATGTTTGAGTTTTCTATTCCTGTGATGGGAAGAAGGAGGCGAACAGTTTTCTTCCTACAGAAACTTAACTAAAAGTGAGAACCTGGGAATCTTCCAATGTAAGAAAAGCAAAGAAGAGGCAATAAGAGGAACAGAGAGGGAATAACTTCTTGCTATCCCTATTGCTAACTACTCTAAAGTTGGCCAAAAGTATTTTTTTTAATGTAAAGAGAAGGTGCTTCTGGAGCATTGTGGAATATTTTCTTCATCCCGGGAATATTTTGTTCCTTCTAAAGAAGCATCCTACTCTCTTCCCAGGTGATTTTTAGCTAAAGCTGTCTCTACAATTAGTTAAAATGAAGGCAACCACTTACAGTGCAGGTACTCCTCAAGAGGAAGAGGAAGTTTTAAATAGTTTTGAGCATACTTTGATTAGGGAGAGAACACTCTTTCCCTCGTTTTAAGCTGCCAAATATCTTGGACTAATCCTTTTTTTAGAAATGCACTGCTGGCCCCATCTGCAAGGAAAAGGTGTTCATGTCTAACATACCTAGAATAAGTGGCTGCTGAACCTGGTACACTGTGATGTTAGCAATAGGTTCCACCAAGCGGGGAGTTTCAAAACAATGCTGGATAATAAAAGAACTCTGATCCAACAGGTCTTTACCTATGGGAAACAAATTACATGGTTAATATTGGTCTGATACATTTGCTTGCCACAATCAATCAAATAAGGGAGTAATAGTTGATTTCTACATAGATTGGTATAAAGATAGGAAAGGGCTCAGTAAGCCAGTTTCAGAAGCCATGGAGATTGATAGAAGGTGCACTATTCTTTCTTGGCTCAGTTCGTTAGCATTTTGTGGTAGTAAAGGCAATACACAAGGTTTATTGCAATTGGCAAAGTTGGCCACAAAGGACTTGGTGCCAGGCTAACTATTATTTGGACACTGGAGCTCTCTCAAATATCTTTATGTGGGGTGTGCATGAAAGTACCTTACATGTTGCCTGTTTCTGAAAACTATCAGCAATCACCATTATGCAATGATTGAATAAAAGAGCTATCCCAAGAAACCTTTCTTAAGGTCACTTCTCAATAGAGACATCCTATAACAGTGATGGGTAACCTTTTCGGCTCAAAGCATGCGCATCCCCAAAATGCAGTACATGCGCATCCCCTGTGCATGCGCCCCACTCTGTGCATACGCCCCACACATGTGCAGCAGAGAGCTGAAAACCAGTTGGCTGGTGGGAGGCATACATGCACAGCAGAGCTGAGCTGGGGTGACAGCTCGCATGCCCACAGAGAGGGCTCTGTGTGCCACCTCTGGCACACGTACCATAGGTTTGCCATCATGGTCCAATAATACACTACTTATAATATTGTTTCTGAGTGAGCAAGAGATTGTCTTTATGTACCTAGAAAAGAATATCTGCAGAATACCAGTGCCAAAAATCAGAATGGCAGCCATATCTTCATGATCACACTCTGCCCTTTTATATATGTCACAACAATTATTAAAAAGGCACAAGGGCTTCTATCATCCAGTCACTGCCCTCTTCTTTACCTTTTTTGATCCCTCCCCTGATCCATGGGTTCCCCTCTGCACAGAAACTTTCTCAGATCCCAAAGGCATGCTCTCCATTTCCTAATCTCCAAGCCTGGATTGGCAGGCAGTTGTCGATTTAGAGGGAACATGCCTGCACATTCATGCAAGATGAAAGATGGTCAGGATTGAGAATACTTTGCCAAATTCAGACAAGATTGAAGCTAAAGATTGGTCTTCTGCCATCAAAATGAAGGGGATTTGCACATATTTGTGCACAACAAGAGTTAATCTACTTTAAATGCACATGACAACATGAACATAGTGAAGTCACAATGGAAAGCTTACTCTTTTGTGCATGAGTCTCAACATCAAACACAACAGTTTGAGTCATGGAATTGCATGTTTTGTTACTTGACACTACCACCACCCCACCTGTTCCCTTCTACCAATATCTCTGGTCAGTCTTGTACTTTTCCTGATCCTTTGCAGATGAACTGCATTGTAAATATACTTAGTCATTATTACATATATTTTCCCAGTGGAAACTCAGGATAAATTTTGAGCTGATCCTGAATACGAATACATTTCAGTGTTCAAAGAAGACAGAATGATGCTCTTACTATTATGATCTTCACTGAGGAGGGCTGGAGAGCCAGGTGAGAAGCCGGCATTCCTATCATCTGCCCCCTCCTGGCTTTAGCAATGGATTGGCTGAGCTGCTTTCTTTTTGGCCTTTATGGGAGCCAGAAGGTCTGCTTTCCACTGCTTCTGCATTGCTCTGATGATGCTGACAAACTGCAGCTGGGAAGAGCTGCTATATAAGCCCAAACCAAACTCACATGAGAGGTGAAATCTTAGGCACTAGGGTACAAAGGACCAAGGCATAGCCACTGGTACAGCCACTGATGGACCAATTGCATCCATTGCTAGATCATATTGCCTTTAAATGGTGCTATAACCCCTGATAATTTCCAGGCTTGATTGCGTAGCATGCTCTCCAAAGGGCCTCCTTTTATTCCCCTTCAAAACTTCAGATGGTAAAAAATATGGCAGCTACTTTGATCCCTGGAATAAAGTATCCTGTAGGGACCATGTGATGCCAATTTTGAAAAGTCTACACCAGTTGCCAATTTGTTTCTAAGTACAATATGCTTACTATCTTTAATGTCTTAAATTGCTTGGCCTGGAATTCCCGAGACATTTTTTCCAACATCCACTCAGATCATCTGGAAGACTCCAACAATGTCAGCCATCTTGTTTGATCTCCAAGACATGGGAGCTTACCCCACAGCGGAACTCCCTTCAAAATGCAATCCAGGCACTACATCAATACTGCCCTGTAATGGGGCTACAAAAACATCCCTGTCATTGCTATTTCCAACCCCCCCACACACAATGATATGTTAATTCTGTTCTAAAAATAAGATTGCATATTTATATTTGTCTTTAAGATTTTGGGCATATTGTATGCTACCTGGGGTTTTCAGTGATAAATGGTCTATAAATTACATCAGTAATTGAATATGTTTGTCTCTGCTTGCCATTATTACAAATCCGGAGGTAGTTAGGAAAAGAGAGCCAGTAAGGCTTTGCTTCACTTGGCCAATGAACACACTCACTACAGCAAGGCTGTGACGGGTCTTCAGATCTGCAGCTTTTTGTGACCCAACTACTCTGGCTCCAGGCCTCCTGCCATGTTTTCTTCTCTGGCTCTTCTTGTAGAACAACAGAACGACGCTTCCTGCGAATTTTTTTGAAAACCCTGACAAGGAAAGAACATTCAGATCAATGTTCATTAGAGAGCATCCAGATGCTTCCCCCTGTGCAATTCTGGGGCATGGCCACCAATTTAAGCTTTAAATTACTTTAAGATACATAAGTGAAGATTAAAAACATTAGTTGTCTAGTGCAATCTGACATCTAGGTTGAACCTTACAAGAACAAATCCAAGGGATGCTTTTGCACAGGGAAAACTCCACACAACTCTGGTGTACAAAGTATTTTATTGTGACTTCAAAAAGAAAAACATGTGGCAAGTATTTTAAACCAGCAGCCCCCATCTTTTGGGCACCAGGGACCAGTTCCATGGAGAAAGGTTTTCTGTGGACTGGAGGGAGTGTGGTTTCTCATGCTGCCTGCATCCCACAAATGGGGCTTCACTTGTTTGCGCAGACCAGTGCTGGTCCATGGACCGGGGGTTGAATACTCTGGTCTAAGCTATCTTAGCTAGATATAAAGACCCGAAAATGAGAAGCCTGTGGCCCTGGTACATGGCAATCAGCCCAGGAAGATCCAGCCTAATATTTTTATTCTAGGGCTGCCCATCCAGAGAGAAGTCAGTGACAATGACTTTTTTGCAAAATATTGTATATAACTTTAATAAAAAAGCAGTATGAATTGATAAGTGAAACATCCAGAAACTCTAATCAAATTCTAGGTTTAATGGTGGAAAATAAAAGGGAGGGGAGGGGAGGGAAGAGACGTGATCCACCCAAATTAGAGGGGGAAAGCAGAAAATTCCAGCTCATTAAAATGCATTGAGTAGTCTTGTTCACCATATATCATTACCCCAGCTGCAGTACTCATTTTCCCTCGAGGAAGTTATGCGATTCCAGGCCACCAAACTATTGCTCAATCCTGCTCTGAAGATATTAGGAGAAGCTGATTAGACTCCAGAAGTTTTGCAGAGCTTGTATTTAAAGCAACCTTTGTTTCTGCCAGCTCCCCAGTTTCGAAGAATTCTTTCCATGGTATTTGGAAAGATTCGCCATGAAGGGACCATGAAGTAATACTTACTCTCAAAAACTGAATTTATACAAAAAATCCTCCAAACTAATTGAAAGAATGTGCATTGGTTCTAAGTATTCTGAAATGAAATTTGCTAATCCAAAGCATTGCGATATTCTTACATACATCAGAGCAATAAATTAGGAGAACTCTCATGTACCTTTTCACTCCTGTTTCCCGGTACGAAATGGGTTTCAGCTTTTGGAGGATGGCCAGTCTTTCACTCCGTCGTTGCATTGGAATTCTCCCAAAGAATCTTAAGATATGATGAAACCTATTCAATACCATCAAAATAATTCAATGTGCACAGAACAATTTTGAGAAAGTTGATGAGGTATTACTTTTAACAATTGTATTTTGTATAGAAAGGACCAGTGTAGCTGGTACACAATTGATGTAATAAAATCCATCCAACTTGCCTCAACAAGGACAACCATGCAATACAGGTTGTCCTCAGTTTACAACAGTTCATTTAGTGACTGCTCAAAGTTACAATGGCACTGAAAAAAGTGACTTATGATTGTTTTTTGCAGCAAACCCATGGTCATATGATTAAAATTCAGACGCTTGGCAACTGACTAATATTTATGGTGGTTGGAGTGTCCCAGGATCACCTTATGTGAACTTCTGACAAGCAAAGTCAAAGGGGAAGCTAGATTCACTGAACAACCATGTTAACAACTGAAGTGATTCACTTAACAACTATGGCAAGAAAGGTTGTAAAATGGGGTAAATTGTACTTAACGACTATCTCGCTTTTTTGGCTCAATTGTGGTCATGAGTTGGGGATGACAGTATGTATAGATTAGTGCAATATGTTTGTGGCAATGCATAAGTGAAACTAGGCAGATTTTCCTGAGATAAGACTGTGGCTGAGGTAGCAACAAAACTGGCAGAAGACGTACTTTTGGCTCTTATCACTCCAACTAGATTTCCACAGCCAATATAGGAGATTATCCAGAAGTCATCTTCCCAATAGCTCCTTTAGAGGGAACTGCACCACCCAATCATAACTGAATTCTTCTAAGCACTTCCTCAGACTGTCCAAGTACTTGTGTCGTGCCTTGTTTGTTTTTTGCCTTTATCCAACTCTAAATATTTCACCAAGTGACTGCTCCTCAACCGCCTATGATTAATAACTACAAAACAAAAGCAGAGTTGGGCAGACTTTATTGCCTCTTTTAGCAATTCATTGAGACTCTATTCCCTCCCTAAAGCAAGTCCCTTGGAACTTCTAAACTCTGAAATTCAGTTCTGGCAAAAACACAAAGGCTAAAGGGCCACATGGATTAGCCTCTCTTTTCCTCCTTCTGCCTTCAACCCACACAAAGACCTGCTTCTGCTGCCAAGAAGACTAATCCGCCACAGTTCTTCCCTTTGTGTATTAGGCCATGTGGAGTAATACTCCACATGGCTTTTCAGCCCGTCAATCAGGATACATGGAATGTTCAAAAAACAGAGGTCTACACCAACCTTACAGTGGACTAATCCTGATTCTTCTGACTTGGTATTTTTTATTGGAATGAATCACATTTTTAAATGATACTTAAGGGATGTTAATAAGAGAAATAAACTGCATGTATTTAAACCTCCCAGGATAAATAGGCTAAAACAAGATGACCTCATAAATGAATTCAGTAAGATAACACTGCACAAGGTGTGAGGTCATGCATGAGGTTGCTGCTTGTCTCTCAGATAGGAAATATTTCTCAATGTCCTTGGAAAAAACCCTCTTCTACTTTGGGCTCCCTTACAATTGATCACAGGGCTACATTCCAGAGTTATTAGTAATAGCACTTAATAGATTTCTTCTATACAGTTAATTTCTATTAATAACTTGCCCAGTTATTGAGATAGTTAATGACAAATAGTTAATTAAACATATGGCTAGGGATGCTCTAGGAAAAGACAGACGGCTATATGATTGTCCAACAACCATCCTGCTCAAGAGCCTTTCACATACTTATTCCTACACACAGGAGTATTTCAATTCATTAGGAAGCTTTGTGTGGACCTATCGATTAGTGGGGGTACCTCTTCGTTTTCTGTGAACATGTGGAAGGTCTTATGTCTTTCCCCTTTTATGTAGTATAAAAGCCAAATTCTTAGTTTCTTTCTCCAGCTGTCATGAAAGGGAGGGGAGAAGGAAGAGAAGGAGAAGGAGGAGATACTAGTTAAAGACACTTAACATTTGGGATAAAGGATAAAGTAGCTTTCAGAACAAGCGAGGATAATAGAAGAAAGGAAAAACATTTGAAAAATTGAAGGACAGATTTCTAAATAATAATAATAATAATTTTCCATATAGTTTCCTTATCAAGCACATATACTTAAATATACTTTTCCTTGTTTTAAACTGCTCATCCTCACGGTGGTCTTGGTGCTTCTGAAACAGCTTTCCAAAGAAAATACAAACAATGAAACAGCCACCTTGCCTATAACCAGGTTAAGACATTTAACAATGAGGGCTAGAGGTTTGAGCCAAAATTGATAAATCTGACAGATGAAACCAATCCAAAACAAAGAATCTAACAATGAAATTGTAAAAGAAATACTGTGAGCCTAGTCTAGAAACTAACAAAATTATAATATTATGAAAGGAAAAAGATAAAGCAAATAAGCCTCAAACAAGAGAACACCCCAACAGAAAGTTACATTAGACTCAAAAATATGTCTCATGTGTTTGCTATATTGGCAACAGTATCAAAGTAAATTCTTTTCTTTATTGTATTTTAGTGTTTTAAAAATATCAGGAGAACTATTATCTCTGCAGGAGTTCTTACAGCATGGCAGTGAATAATTTTTTGTGTAATAAGATTGTTTTTAAACAATGCATTTTCAGACTATCACAGGTAGAATCAAAACTAAAAACATTAAACTATTCTCTTTAATTATACTTTTGTTTCCAACAGCTGTGACTCTGGCATTCCAAGGAAAGGAAAGTAGCAATATATAGGCAGTGGTGGGATTCAAATAATTTTACAACTAGTTTGCCCAGGGTCAGGTTAGCTGTCATGGGAGGCATGGGCCATTCGCATCCTCCAGCTCTGTCACAGGTGCAGGACGAGCCTCCCGCAACAGCCAACCTGACCCTGGGCGAACCGGTTGTTAAATTTCCACCTTTTGCCAAAATGCTGTTTCCAAGGGTGCTTGTCTGCACATTGGTCTCACAGCCGTTTCGGCCTTCTGGATGTGGCTCCTTTGAGAGGCGAGGAACAAGGACGGGGGTTACCATAGAGACAAGGAGTTGATGCTCCTGAGAGCTTGCGTGGGAAGGTGAAGAATTAGGGGGAAGTGGAGGGAGCTGCGTGCAGGGGGTGTTGGTCAGTCTGTGAGCAAAAGTGAGACGGGCGAGGAATTAAGTTGGCAGCATGATCGAAGCTGATCCCAGTGTAGGTGAAACTGTGGGGTTAGTTTGGCCAGGCAAATTATTCCGCCCCACCCCACTATCAAAGTGGATCCCGAGTGCTGTGCTGTAATGGAGAAACGGGCAACGGAGCAGCCAGTATGAGGGAAGGAGGAGGAGCAGGGAGAAGAGAGGGAAAGTGCCCCCCTCCTTCCCTTGCGCTGGCCGCTCCATTGCCCGTTTCTCCATTACACCACCATGCCATGGAGCTTGCCCCACCCATCACCGCTCAGAAAGATGGTCAAAGAAAGATGGTCAAAGAAAGAGCATTTCATCATGTGCTGAATGCCGTAATTAAATCATGGCTTCTTAAGATGCCATCTCTATCACTGGATAAAGCGAGCGCCACCAGGCCCAACAAAGTAAAAGAAGAAGAAATGTAAGAGCAGCGCCTGCCCACACCTCTTTTCCACCCCTGAACAGTGCATTTCTCCTGCCCATGTCAGGGATGGAGTGAGCAACGGCATCCAATTAGAGGCCTTTTCTTTGATCACCTTTCTTTCGAGGGGTTCTGGGTGGTGGTGGAAGGAGGAGAGAGAGAGGCCCACGGAGTCATTAGCACCTTTCCACAGCGGTGTCTCAAACCCATGGAGGATGGCAGGGCAGCCCAGATGACCCCCTTCCCCAAGCATTTCTTTGCCTGTCTGATTTCCAGCTCCATCACGCTTCTTGCCATTGTGTGCAGGGAAACAAAAGTTTGGTGCGACTAAAAGAAAAAGTTAACTCAATCAATTCCAAATTCGTGAAATCCTTTTTTTTTTTTTTTTTTTGTAAGAAGTTGGAATTGATTGAGTGAACTTTTGTTTTGTTTTTTGTCCCACAAAGTTTTGTTTCCCTGCAGACATTGGTGAGAAATACAAAGGGGGTGGAAATCAGGTACACAAAGAAATTCTTGGGGGAAGCGAGGGCATTTGGACAGTGGTGAGTAGGACAAGATCTTTTGCCCACAAAACCCTCATCTTTGTCAAAAGGCAGAGAAAGAACTGCCGGGAAGAAGCCAATTGGCCCTGGTGCATCGATAAAGGGGGGAGGGGGGGCTAAGTGAGGGGTAGGAAGCCCTGCCTGGCCAGGGGAGGAGAAGGGATGGCAAGAGGAGCCCCATCTCACTCCATGCACCCCAATGAAAGGCAGTGGCAGCTCTGGGCTCACCCAGTGCCATAGTCCACCATACAAGCTGGGAAGGCTGTGAACCTGCAGCAGCTGAGTGTGCTTGGTGAACTGCTCAATGAACTCATGCAGGCAGATGTAGAACACACCCAGGTGGCAGATGCAGGCCAGGAGGGCAACCTCATTCGGGTGCAGGAACAGCAGCAGCTCTGGAGACACCTGTGGGAGAGGAGGAGAAAGGGCACTGGGCTGGGCCTGAGGAGGGGGAAAGGATTGCCACCCTTTGCCCCATCACTGTGCCCACCTGTAGGCTGCCACCCACAAAGAGGCCACCTGGCAAGCCATGCAGCTCCAGCAGATCCTGGCGTCACATGGGAACTGGGCCTGAGCCCCTTTTTCTCAAGTGCCCCAATGACAAGATTCACCCCTGTGAAGCCCTTGTCTGCTGAGAAGCCTAGCTGAGGCCCTGCCCGCCACTGCTGAGGCACCTGGAATTCCGGTGACAGATAGAGTCCTTCAAGCACTTAGTTTGGCCACCTGTTTAGGAGCTCCAGTCCATCACTCCAAGTGCCTTGTTAGAGCTGCCTTGGGGTTTTGCCTGCACTGACTTCACTTGCTTGGAGGGGGAGGGAGGACGGTTAGAGGAGTGCTGAGATGCCAAAATGGCCTCAGGAGGGGCCGGGCAAGGGAAGGAAGGAAGGGGCAAGCTGCGAGGCAGAGCCAG